TCGGAAGTCGGGCCGGGCTCAACGGGGCGGAGCGGCGCGGCGCATGAGCGCCTAAACTCGAGCCACGACGTATGCCACAACATCCCGACTTGCGCGGTCCTGCAGCAGAGGTTCAACGACTAGAACAACCGTATGGTTGCGTAAGGTTGTCTTGCCTGAATGCGCGGGCTGTACGGGCTTCGAGCCACCCCAGTCAGGCCGCCTTTGTTTATTCCGCACGGTCGCCCAAGCACCATCCTTCGTCATTACTACTGTCTCTCGTCTACCTTACTCGCCGGTCTCCGTGTCTTGTTTAGTACTGCAGCTGCCGGATCGCATTCTTTCCAGAGAACCTAACTCTGTGGCGGTTCATGCGCGTAACGCTCCTCACCGGTAGTTCCAGCCCCGCTCAAGTCCACCGTCCAAGACGCTGACTATTCAACGCACAGGCTTCCATCAGCATCTGAAACCCAAGTCCTCGAAGATGCCGCGCGTCGGTCGTCGTCATCAAGAAGCATCAGAGAAGAGACGTGCCTCTCCGCGTTTGTGCATTTCCTTACTTGCTATTGACATATTCACTCATCGGAACGCCCAACGGCCCTGCAGGGAACGACGTCGGGGCGCACAACCTCATGGATGACGGGCGCAACACACGATATGGACAAAGGTGCGGCCGAATTTGTCGCCTACGCAAGGCCGCGCCGTCTGATTCAACGCCTTACGTAGTAAACGAGTTGTGGCGCCGTACACGGTTCCACCGCATTGCCGCCCGCAGGCTCGTGTGCGCCTCTCCACTTGGACATTCAATGGCGGCGACAAATACCATGGGAGCGGTGCGAGCTGCTCATCGAGAAGGCGTCGCCGGCGCAACCACGGCCGGACGCCTTCAACGCGAGCTGAAACGCGCGCTCTGGAAGCTCTCGAAGCGGCTACACGGAGTTGGCGTGTCGAGCCTCTCGGCACCGGGTGCGGTAGCACTCCATGCCACCTGGCGGCCGCGGTGACGCTCGTGGAAGCTGTTGAAGCAGGTGAGAGTCTGACAACCGACGTTCTCCATGAATACTCGCTCATGAACAAGGCAGGAGAGTTCGCCATAAGCAGCTATGCTGTCAGAGTAGCGAGCTCGCACTCTCGTCTGCGCCAATTGCATCTCGCGCTTCGGTCGGTCACCTTGCCATTGAGAATCGAGGACAAAGATCTTGGGAGCGGTACGAGCTTGAGGGGAC